ACCTACTGAATGGGAAAAGATATTTGTAAATAATATGTCTGATAAAAGGTTAAGAGATTAACATCCAAAATTTATAAAGAACTTATTCAACTCAATACCAAAAAAAACCCCAAAAAACACCCAACCAATTAAAAGATGAGCAGAGGACCAAAATAGACATTTTTTCAAAGAAGATATACAGATGGCCAAAAGGCACATGAAAAGATCCTCACCATCACTCATCATCAAGGAAATGCAAATCAAAACCACAATCAGATATCACCTTTTATCTGTCAGAATGGCTAAAATCAAAAAGGCAAATAAGTGATGGGTATTACGGAGGACACTTGTGATGAGTACTGGTTGTTGTATGTAAGTGATAATTCACTAAATTCTATACCTGAAACTAAACACTGTATGTTAAATAACAAGAATTTAAATAAAAACTTGAAAAAAAAGGGTAAAAAATAACAAGAGTTGGAGAGGATGTGGAGAAAAAGAAACTCTTATACACTGTTAGTGGGAAGACAAATTGGTACACCAGTGTGGAAAACAGTATGAAGGTTCCTCAAAAAATTAAAAATAGAAATACCGTATGATCCAATAATTCCACTACTATTACCCAAAGAAAACAAAAACACTAACTCAAAAAGATATATGTACCCCTATGTTTATTGCAGCATTATTTACAATAACCAAGATAGAGGAAGCAATTCAGTGTCCATCAACAGATGAATGGAAAAGGAAGATACAAGACTACACACACACACACACACACACACACACACACACACACACACTCTCTCTCTCTCTCTCTCTCTCTCTCTCTCACACACACATACAGGAATATTACACAGCATTAAAAAAAGGATGAGACTGTGACATTTGCAAGAGCATGGATGGATCCCACGAGTACTACATAACTGAAATAAGTCAGACCGAGAAATACAAATACCATATGATTTTACTCATGTGGAATCTAAATCAAATGAGTAAGCTAAAAACTGAATTGGACCTATAAATACACAGAATAAACTGATGGTTGCCAGAGGGAAGGGGAGGGTGTAGGAAGGATGGGCAAAATGGACTAAGGGGAGAGGAGATAAGAGGCTTCCAGTTATGAAATCACAGGAATAAAGGCACAGCATAGGGAATACAGTTAATGATGTTGTAACAGCAGTGTATGGTGACAGATGACAGCTATACTTTTGGTGAGCACAGCATAACATGTACAGAAGTTGAATCACTATGTTGCAACACCTGAAATCAATGTAACATTGTGTCAACTATACTCATAAATTTTTTTAATGTTTTACCTAATAAATCTTATTAAAAAGTAGTTTTGTTGTCTCTATCATCATAGTGTTTACAGTTGGAAAAAAGATATTAAGTCAAAAATATTAAATTTCAGTCAGTGGTACACTCAGAGGTCAACAAACCTTTGCTAAGTAAGTATTTTAGGTTTTGTAGGCCATACAACCTGCCACACCATTCAACTCTACCGTTGTGGTAAGAAAGCAGCCATTGACAATGTTTCAACAAATGAGAGGGGCTGTTTTCAATAAAACCTTATTAACTGAACAATTAAATTTGAACTTCACATAATTTTCATATGTCACTAAATGTTAATCTTTTTATTTTTCCAACTATTTAAAAATGTAAAAATTATTCTTAGTCCACAGGCCATTCAAAATTGTAAACAAGCTGGATTTGGCTCATATGCTATAGCTTGATGACCTCTGACATAATCTCTCTTTGGATCTATCAGTTTACACAGGTCGACCACACTCTTTCCAAATTTTTGTAAATATCCATAGTCATGGCAAATAAATCAGATGATTCCCACAGGTGAAAGAAACCAGCTCACAAATTAAACATGAGAAAGGACTGACTAAAGTAGAAAAAGAGAGGGAATTTTTGCTTAAAAGTTCTGTGGCATCAGGAAAAATAAATTTTGGAGAGATGAGAAGGAAGAGAGGCACAGAATGTAAGGAACTTTTCTGGGCATACATAAAAGTTTTAAGTTTACGACATTCAAACCTTCTTTGGAGACTCCCCCCACAAAATAATAGTTATATTTTCCCCAAAAGGAGAGAAAGTCACAAAACATACCAAAGAAGATAGAAAACAGGGGGTTCTGTTTCGTTTCCAACAAAACAAAAATTAGCACCACTCAAAAGCTTCCTTCAAACCATTCAATCTGGAGGTGGTTCTGAATCAAATTCAAGAATTAAAATACAAACCACTCAAAACATTAATGTATACGATACAAAAGTCTTAAACTTAAAAATATGCTCTGTGCCACAGCTGATTTTTTAAGGTAGCAAATATGAAATTTAGAATATATTTTCCACAGAAACAGCAATAGGTATGCAATGTAGCCTATCTAAATTAATGTTTTATAAAATTAAAATACTATTTAATTTTATAAGAAAAAATAATTTAGAGTAATATACAAGAATCCTTTGCTAGCCAATATATTTGGTTTCTGAGTTTTGGAAAGTGAGTTAACAAAGGTTCAGATTTCCAATGATTTATCTAAAAACACACACTAATCCATTTGATTCCTGCATATAGATTTGCATAGTGAGAAATACTTATAATCCCAGCATCTAAATATTAAACCATTTTTAACAATGGCAACAACAAAGAAAGCACACTTATTTATAAGAGGATAAGAAAGAAGCTGGAGATGTCTATAATGCATAGTTTCTACAGAGCCTTTTCAAGAGGCTCTACACTTTTGATAGTACTGATTTAATTTCCCTCAAAACATATGACTGTCTTCATCCTTGCACAGATACAGATTTATTGCAACAATTAATATCATCATTCTTAAGGCTACAATTTAATTAGATGCTATTTTTTAATTCAAAAGAGGAAATAAAAGGAGGAAGAATTTACCTAAGAAACCTGGAGAAAGAATATTTGGGGTAAACAAAGGCAATGAATATGTGTCTATGTGCAAGTTTCAAAGCTTAGCTAATTTTGTTAATTCCCCCCACCAAAAAAAGCACTAAAAAGGACATAAAGTACAAGATCTATCTGAATTTAAATAAAATGAGATATACAGCAATGGGTTATTAAGTTAAATAAGTAATTATAAATAGATCTACAATGAAATACTGTGCAGCCATTAAGAAAGATGGTCTAGACTTCATATACCCAAATGATATACCAGTGAACACAAGAGGCACAGAAATTACACACACTGTGCATATAGTATATACTACAATTAAATAACAAATACAAATGTAGATCTTATATTTATATAAAAATGTTTAGAAGTTATCTATGGATCATGGGAGTAGGGGAAATTTTTTCTTTCTGGCTTATCTGTATTCTTGAATTTCCTAAAATAAATGTACAACTTGTATACTAAGGAAATACTAGTCTAGAAACAAAATACAAAGCATTTATTTCCTTAGAACATTCTGCCCTTTGTATAATAAACAATTTCTGAAGGAACATAAATATATACATACATATACAACTATATAAATAAACACATGGAAGTGGGGGAAGCAGCAGGCTGAGTCACAAGCTGTAATTTGGGTTGTCAGAAGGCAATTAAGTATAATGCTGACTTCTGACATGAATGAGGACAGCAGGTTAAGAAAGGAAGGCTGAAGAAATGTCAGGCTTAGGTTAAATTCTTGTTTTTTTAGATTTTTCCTTTGTTCATTTGTAAGCTCAGAAAAATATGTGAAACTACAATTAGTATTGCTAAAAAATATATCAGGTAAAAATAATTCAGTGTTGAATTATGATAAGATGAGAAATGATTAAAGTTAAGAGAAATTTAAAAAATGATCTTAGCTAGAAGAACGATAAAACACTAGAACAAGCACATTTTGGAGTCTCCATTCTTAAAAGTCATGTTTTACAGGGATATCAATTCATCTCAGCAAAGACAGGTGGTTGGGACAAATGATCTTTCATAGATACTTTCAGATCAATGATTCCTAACTCAATTATTTTGCTCAACATTAATGAAGAATGGGCAGAAAACTTTTGACTACTCCACCATCATTCCCTCACCTCAACAGACTTATTTACACAGAAGAAAGAAGCACCTTTAGAGATGTCTTGGGTCTCAGTAGAATGGAAGGTACCATAGTACAACAGAAGGTAAAAGAGGACATAAAACAGACCAGATACAAGATTCAGAAATAATTCAACCAAAATTGAAGTAGAAAATCTATACCAGCATTACCTACTTTGAATAAACTGTACTATAAAATTTCAGAGGTCTACAAAAGTGTTCTCCTACTGCTCTATATTTCCAAGCAAGCAATAAAACAACTAAACTATGGTATCACAGCAATTATATCACAAATCAAAATCTTCCACTAGGATTTATGCCACAGCATTTGAAAGAAGTGGCTAATAAATAACAAATAGTATTATACATAAATATAAAACTCTGAACACACATGGTGGGATTTCTCAGAGCGACAATCTGATTTCCAGGCTACCTGTTTCATGAACAACAGGAAATATTTATTTAATTGAACCCTTTTAAATCCTCTTTAAGAATAAGCAAGGGTTGGGGCGCCTGGGTGGCTCAGTCAGTTAAGTGTCTGTCTTTGGCTCAGGTCATGATCCCTTGGTCCTGGGATTGAGCCCTACGTCAGGCTCCCTGCTCAGCAGGGAGCCTGCTTCTCCCTCTCCCTCTGCCTGCCGCTCTGCCTATCTGTGCTTTCTGTCAAATAAATAAATAAATCTTTAAAAAAAAAAAAAAAAGAATAAGCAAGGGTACGTTACAATAAAAATTAAATTTCACCATTAAGCCAAAGACAAGCTTCACTTTCCATTTTGGTCAGTGTACTAAATTTTTAAAAAGATTATGATAACGTTATATAATAACAAAAACAGCATTTAGATCACTTTATTTAAAAATACTAATTAAACAAGACCACAAATTCATGTTTAACGTAAAGTTAGCACAGAACAACCATTTTTCATTGTTAAATGGGACATAAAGTCACAATTTTAAAATAAAACTTAAAAAGCATTACCTTCAAATAAGCTGAGGTCTCTTCGTAGCCGTGGTCCATAAAGCCCTTCTAAAATACTCTCAAAACCTGTGTTGTAAAAGAGAGAAAAGTATATAACCTACTGGAAAAGTTAAATTTTATAATAATCAAAAACCATAATCCCAAATGAATTAGAAAATTATAAATTTAACTAACTATGAGGCGTCATTTTTCCTTTAGGTGAATTAAGCTGAACTAGGCAATACACAAAACAGTAAACAATCACTCAGAAATTACATGATTGTGAAGAATTTAAAATATTCAAATGTAATATTCACTACTAAAACAAGTAAACATCTTTGTTATTTAGAAATATTCCAAGGTTGAAATATTATAGGCAGATTTTTTTGGTAATAATTTTGTAGAGGAGAAAAATGAAAAAAGACACGTATTACATTCTAGTTTATGTCTGTAACAAAAAATGTAAACATAAAAGAAAGTAGCATCTTTAAACTCAGTTACAAGAATGAGTAAGTGAGTATCAATGGGGAGAAAATCTTGCTGTGAAAAGTATGATGTACAAAATTTAAACCTACATACTTATAAAAATTAGAACACAATAATTTGTTCATGGCTACGGACTACCTTGTTTTAAGGAAAAAAAATACCAAAAATCTTGTCAGGATAACAACAATCATGAATTTGAAAGAGTATTCTACCTTTTGGATATACTTATTTTAATATTTCACAATTTTCTTTTTGAAGTCTGTATCTTAATCAATTTTAAGCAGCTTACTGATAAAGTAAAAAGAATGGCAACATTTTTTCACTTAGTAGAATGTGAAGAAATGATGCAACTTAAAATTAATGATACCTTATATTTGACAAAATAATGTAGTTATCACAGTACTTAGTAAATATGTAGTTAATAAAATCTTTGTGAAATGATTCAGTACTAGTTTCTATGAGTGGAAATTTCAGGCAGAAAAGTGAATGAATCATCATCAGAGAGAGCTTTCAAGAATACTATATAAAAGACTTTCATATTAGGTAAAGACTCAGACTGAAAGAACCCCAAATCTTTATTACTAAGATATTTTATTTGCCAATGTGCTCCAAAAATACTGTAAACAACTATTTTAAGGTGTTACTCTGTGTTATATTGGACAAAATATCATGCCCCTCCTCCTTACAAGCCTACTGAATTTAAATGTTGCACATTTCCTAGATTTAAGTCTGAAATGAAGAAGGCAAACAAGGACTTAAACTTTTGTTTTACTGGGCTTCTAGGCTCCTCCCCAGATAAGACCAAGGTCCTATGTATATCCTATTAAGATTTAGTCATAGTACATACTGCTGGTGCTACTGAAAAGTTTTGTTTCTTGTAGGGTGATAGAAACATAATTGGTGTTTGTATATTGACTCTGTATCTAGCAACATTGCTAAATTCTCTAATTATAATAATTCATCTGGATACTCTGTACACAAATACAACATCTATAGATAAGTTTTGTTTTTTTCCTTTCCAACCCTTACTGCTTTCTTTTTTCCTGTTCTTACCTTACTGCCTTGGCTAGACCTCCATTATTATGATGCTGAAAATTAGTGATGATTGGCAGACATCCCTGACTTTGTGAAAATTAATAAAAGGAAATCTCATTTTTGGAGTCAGGAGGCCAGCAGGGGGAGCTCTCACATCCTACCACTGGTTGTCAACTGCAGACTCAAAGGAAGAGAGGGATCTTGCATGTGGATACTACTTGACTGTCCCAGAGGGAGGAAAAAAGAGTTTCCTCCTCCCCTGGCAGCAGTTCAACCAATGAGAGACTGTCATAGTTCTGCTAATGAAAAGCCACTCTACTCTGAACTCCCAGTATGAGAGCCCACCCAATTTCCCTCCTTTTCTTTTAAATAAACCTGTTCAGGGGACTTGCCTATGGTTTTGCCATAGCTTGCTTGTCCAGGATGGTAATTTTCTGCTATTACTGAATAAACCCATCTTTTGCTGGTAAAATAACTGGCAGTTTTATTTTTAAGCTTAACTACTTATGCCCAATCTAAATGGGAAACCATTCAAAGTTTCATCATTAAATATACTTTTAAAATAAACCACTTGGGAAGTCTGGGTGGCTCAGCTGGTTGGTTAAACATCCAACTCTTGATTTCAGCTCAGGGCATAATCTCATGGATGTGGGATCAAGCCCCATGTTGGGCTCCGTGCTCAGCAGGGAATGTCGGAGATTTTCTCTCTCTCTCCCCCACCCTCTGCCCCTCCCCCACTTGCATGTGCACACATGTGTGTGCACGCCCATGCTCTCTCCCCTTCTAAAATAAACAAATCTTGGAGTGCCTGGGCGGCTCAGGTCATGATCCCAGAGTCCTGGGATCGAGCCCCGCATCAGGCTCCCTGCTCAGCGGGGAGCCTGCTTCTCTCTCTCCCACTCCCCCTGCTTGTGCTCCCTCTCTGTGTCTCTCTCTGTCAAATAAATAAAATCTTTAAAATAAATCTTTTTAAAAAAAAAATAAACACTACTTATCACATTCAGGGAGTTCCTTCTACATCTAGCTTGCAAGGGGGTTTTTATTACCGTCAACAGATGAATTTTATCAAATTTATTTTTCATCTATTGAGATAATTGTGTCATTTTTTTCTTTATCTTTTACTATATGTTAAGCCAACCTTTTCCCATTCCTAGGAAAAGCCAACATTATCATGAGGTATTTTTGCTGGGTTTCCTGCCCTGACAGTTCCTTTAAAATTTCTGCATCTATGGTCACCATTGAAACTGGTCTGTAAATTTCTTTTGTACTTATCAAGTTCTGATATTAATGTTGTGCTACCCTCATAAAATGAATGGTAATGTTCTTTTTCTTTACCACCTGCGAAAAATGAAAAAATGTAGGATGTCTTGCTTGAATATTTGGTAGAAATATGCCAGGGATACCACCTGGAAATAAAGTCTTTCTAAACAGGCTTATTACCAATCCAATTTATTTAACTGTCATAGGACTACACAGGTATTCTATTTCTTTTTTTTTTAATTTTTTTTATTGTTATGTTAATCACCATATATTACATCATTAGTTTTTGATGCAGTGTTCTATGATTCATTGTTTGTTCATAACACCCAGTGCACCATGCAAAACGTGCCCTCCTCAATACCCATCACCAGGCTAACCCATCCCCCCACCCCCCTACCCTCTAAGGTATTCTATTTCTTATGTTACTTGTCAATTTCAACTATATTTCTCAATTTATTTGCATCAAATGTTTCATTGTATGCTTTTATCTATCTAACGTCAACAGCATCAGCAGTCGTGCCCTCTTCACCTTTCATTCCTTACTTTGGTTATTTATGCTTTCTCTTCTCAGTAAAGCTCATTAAAGTTTCTCAATTTTTTTAATTTAAAAAGAATCTTTTTGATTCCTTGATCTTCTGTTTCGTATGCATGTTTCCTTATCCATTAACTTCTGCTTCTGTTTTTATTTCATGTCCCCTATTTTTAGTTTATCTGGCTCTTATTTTTCCTTTTTTTTAAAATTTCATTTTATTATGTTATGTTAATCATCATACATTACATTAGTCTTTTTAATTTTTTGTTATGTTAATCACCATACATCATTAGTTTTTGATGTACTGTTCCATGATTCATTGTTTGCATATAACACCCAGTGCTCCATGCAGTACGTGCCCTCTTTAATACCCATCACCAGGCTAACCCATCTCCCCACCCCCTCCCCTCTAGAACCCAGTTTCTCAGAGTCCATAGTCTCTCATGGTTCGTCTCCCCCTCCGATTTCCCCCCCTTCATTTTTCCCTTCCTACTATCTTATTTTTCCTTTTTGAAATGGATGTTTATCTCACTTTCAGCTGTTCTTTCCTAATTTATGTATTTAAAGCTATCAATTTCCATCTAAGTATTCCTTTAAGCTACATTCTACAACTTGTGATACATAATATTTTCTCACCATTTGGTTAAAATATTTCCCAATCTCCATTATGACTCCTTTTGGGATTCACGGTTTTTGGAAGCATATTTTAAATTTATCTGAAGAAAATGCCCAATATAACTTCAAGCCTTTCAAATTTCCTGAGATTGTTTTTATGGTTGATATACACAACCTCTGAAAATTCTCTGCATATACCTGAAAAGAACATGCACTCTAAAACTGCTGAATACAGCATTCTATATTTGTTCATCAGGTTAACATGTTACCTGTGCTCTTTAAATTATCCTTATTCAGTTTTGTTATTTTACGTCCCTTCTACCAATTGTTGAGAAAAGTATCTAAAATCTTTCATAAAATTGTGACTTTCTCTATTTCTTTGAACTTCTGCTTTATGTATTTCCGAAGCTGTATTATTAAGTGTTTATAATTTTATAACTGTTATAGCTTGCTGGTGAATAGAACTTTATCCATTTATGAAGTGACCTATTTTATTTCTAGCAATGATTTTTGCCTTAGACTATATGGTCTAATATTATACAGCTATAAAACATTTTTTGTTAGTTTCTATGATACGTCTTTTCCAGTTATCTCTTTACAATCTTTCTGTATTGTTAATATGGGATATCTTTTAAAAACACTGACAAAAAGGGGCGCCTGGGGGGCTCAGTTGTTAAGCGTCTGCCTTCAGCTCAGGTCATGATCCCGGAGTCCTGGGATCGAGCCCCGCATCGGGCTCCAGCCCCGCATCGGGCTCCCTGCTCAGCAGGAAGCCTGCTTCTCCCTCTCCCACTCCCCCTGCTTGTGTACCCCCTCTCGCTGTGTCTCTGTCAAATAAATAAAATCTCAAAAAAAAAAAAACCACTGACAAAAAAATAAAAAACTCTGACATTTTGTCAGAATTTAGTAATTTAAATTTAAAAGTTACCAATAACTTTGGGTTTATTTTAAGATTTTTATTTATTTGTCAGAGAGACACAGAAATGTTCATGTTCCAATACCCACTACTAATGAATAAATTATATTACACGGCAAGAAGGCATTAAAGTCACAGATGGGATTAAGGTTGCTAATTAGTCGATCTTATAATAAGATCATACTGGTGGACCCACTATAATTACAAAACTCTTTAAAATGGGAAGAGAGAGGTGGAAGAGTC